AAAAAAATGTGTTACTTGGACATTCTGGGGGATGTTATGCTTGAAACTGGACATGTTAACTAGGTATAGACAAGTGAATTTAATAATAACAGCAAAAGTCTGAAAAATTAATTTATATATTAGAAATACAAAAAAATTTCCATTTATGGTAATTAAACATATACAGTTTAATCCTACAATGTTAGCATTGTTACATTAATGCCATGAAAATGTCCAACAATGATACCTTGAATCCTCTATACCAAACCATAAATCTGGAAATTTTTGCTGTAGATAAAGTTTTAGCAATTTGTGAGTTCATTGCATTTGCAAAAATATTTTTCTTAAAAATAAATTACCAATAAGAAAATGTAAACAAAGCAGTGGTAATTTGCAAAATTTTGAAAGGAAAAAATTAATCAACACCATTTTGACCCAAATTCACAAAATAAAATTGACGTAAAAAATTCAAGATTTACAGTATATAACATATTATTTTAATGAACAGCATACGTGTACTTAACAATTTATCGAAAATGTGGTCAATTACTGTAAATCTTTTTTAATTCGTGAGAAATTTATTTTTGCATAATATGCAAGGCGATGAGCTCACGAAAATTGAAAGTATTCCTCAAGATTATTTAGAGGAATAACAACAATTTGTGAAAATGATGTCTCGCTAATAAATAGTCAATGACTATTTCGTGAAAATAAGGTGTCGCTAGAATTAGTGATCTACAGTATTTTTAGTGTACTAGATTTTTAGCACAGACTCTTGACGTTTTCAAGATCACAATAGAAGATGCAGGTTTGACTGTATATAAAATAAGAATCACCATTACAAATAATGTATAAAGTACATTAAAGTACTAATAAATTAACGAAATATCACAGTGCTTGTGGAGAACTATACAATGTCAAGTATAATATCACTTTTAAGTATTGTCACTGTTGCGCATAAACCTTTCTAGAAGTTCTTGTAAACTGAGAACGACTCCATGGTTAATTTCTTTTTCCATAGAGATAAATTCCTGAATGTTGTTGGAACATTCTACAAGAGAAAAGTCATTTTTTAAAACTCAAAATTCACAAACTTTATTCTACCTCATTACTTGAGTAATGATTAGATCAAACATAATAAAAAAAAGACCCTGTGTGTCATGGTACGTCACGTATACCGGTAGATAGTAATTAAGCTTGATAAATTGTTACCTTCTGTTTTAATTGGGAGATAGACAGGGGGAGGGGACATCCACTGACCGTCCTGGGTCAACATGTGTGATCTGTCTGATGCAAACGTTTGCAAAAATTCAGCTGCTGGTATAACTCGAAATAATCTGAAACAATAGCATTATTGAGCAGGAGTTATTCCCCTTTATGCAGTTAAAATCAATGTTTTAATACTGAATTTCTTTTTAACATGTTTAACAATCAACATTTTCAATCCACCTAAGCTGTTTTTGTACACTAAGTGTTAATGTAATTGGTCAATAAGAAAATTTCATTATTTTAATTCCAAAACAATTTGAAAATGAGGTAAATCAGAATTTTTAATCCAGTATTTTAAAAACATAAAAATGTTCTAGATGGATATGCGATGTAGATAGTCTTTCAGAGGAGTGTTATTTGATTCCGAGGAGGAGATAAATTTCTTTTTGTTTCTGCTTTCACAAAGAGATATTTCATTTCTACTTCACTGAAAAAAAGTTGACAAAGAAAAATGAGAGTGGGGGAGCTGTCCATGCAGTCAAACTGTTTGCTTATCTTCAAGACATCCCCCGTCAAGTAATCAAATGGTTGTCATATTTATTATTATTTCTTTAAAAAAAAAAACATTGGGAAAAATCTCTGTAGTGTATATTGAAATGTCAAACTATTTTGAAACTGACATATTTTATTTGTCTTCCAGATTTAATTCATCCCTAATACTGTGCACATGAGTAGATGGATTGAAAATAAATTTCGAACTAAAATTTCAATCCCATGTTTTTTTCAGATGCTGCACTGACTTGTACTCACCCTTTTCATTTTTTATCATCAAATAAGAACTCTAACAAAATGAAATGACATAAACTGCATATATCCAATATTGCTAGTTAATATTCCACAATCTTTTCTGTTAAATGTGAATTTATATTCAAATTTAGCATAACAACCATCTAACAAATAAAAACATAAAAACAATATATATACCTCTGATATTCAGGTTTAAAACGTCTATCATCTTTGATGGATTCCTCATAATATCTCCTAAAGTCACACGGAAATGTCAAGGTTGTGTCAAGGTCATAGACCATTGCAGATGACCCTGAGGGTTGGTAGATGAATATAACATGGTAATCCTAAACAAGAATAGGATATTTAACTTGATGTCATTCATTTTTATATGAATACAAGAAGCTCAGTAACAAGTAATGACAAAAATAATCACCCAAAATACTTGTCCATCTTCTCTTTTACTTGCTCTCTGTCTCCAAAATGGAATCTTTAAATGCAACAGAATTGGCATAATGATCATTAGAAAGCAAATTACAAATGATGATGAATGACACTTTCATAAATCATGGTATTTTAAAAAATATATTACCTGGGTATATTTTTTTCTTTGATGTTTGAATTGATTTATGTTTTTTATTACTCTTCCTCAAATTCTTAGATGAATGTTAATTTATTGGGGCAAAAAAAACTTCCTTGGCATTTGTGTTTCTCAATAATAATTTTCTATTGAGTTATTGATATATAATTTATTCATAAAACTTTATATTCAATTTAATATACTTGCCGCTCTTTTCTTGTTGGATATAAATATGCAGTAGCACTTCTCGATCTTATCAGGGTATTCTTTTTGAATTTTATCACATAAACACCAGACATTTTCTTCGCTAGAAATTTAAGATAAAAAATAAGTTATGCACCATTGCACCTGGAAGATAAATAGCATTATAAAATTAATGTACCATCGTGATCACAGTGACTGATGATTTTTGGCAACTCTAAACAGTTTCAAATTATTCAATATTACTTGTATTGTCATTTTGGGAGGTATGACAGTAAATGATTTATAGGTCTAATATTTTCGGATTTTTTGTAGATTTTAAAAGAAAGGTTAAAATCGTCAAGCGCCTATAAGCTACACTTATGCATTTCCTGAAGCACCGTCCCTTGAAGTCCTTTGTAGACTGGCAACCATTAATAGACCTTCATCTTATAATATATTTACAATATTTGCACACCCCATGGTAAAATTGGTTTAATCTTTTTATTATGTTCATTAATGAGAAGCTAATTTGGCTTTTTACAAATGAAAATGAGTCAATCTTAAGATTACTAAGTCAATTCATATCAAAATATTGTATATGATGCTTGAACATTACTACATTGTTACTTTTTGTAAATTATTATTGTGCTGTTTTTGCCTATCTACATGAGGTTGCATTCCTCCTCATTATGAGGAGGAATGCAACCTTTTGTTCATTTCATATATTTGACTAGAATTCATGCATTTCCTGAAGAACCATTCCTTGATGTCTTTTGTAGACTGGCAACCATTAATAGACCTTCATCTTTTAATATATTTACAATATTTGCACACCTCCATGTTAAAATTGGTTTAATCTAGCTTTTTATTATGTTCATTAATGAAAACTTAATATGGCTTTTTACAAATGAAAATTAGTAAATCTTAAGATTACTAAGTCAATTCATATCAAAATATTGTACATGTATATGATTTTTGAATATTACTACATTTTATTTACAATATTTGAACACCACCATGCAATGTTTTCCCTAAGAAACGGCAACCGGCCAAATTGACCACTTCAATTGACAAAAATGCCGGTTTGAAATAACAATTTGTTGTAAGGTCCACAGAGATTTTGTTCATAAACCTCATACCCTAGACTTTTACAACTGATCTCTAACCCCTGACTTTGAAATAAAAGGAAAACACTGCCATGGTACATGTAAATTGGTTAAATCTTTCATTATGTACATTGTCTCTATTTTTTGTGATAATATCCTTGTATCTGTGTTATGCCCCCAGTGGGACCATTATTGGAAATAAATTCTATTGCATTGTATTGTATAAGTTATACAATGCTGCAGCTATGTATTGTATGCACATGACAGCATGATACAAATTCGTTGCGAATGTAAACAAATAAAAATATGAAATATTGAAATTATTGATGCTCTGATGAATACGAAGCAAGATGGTGTGATGAATACGAAGCAAGATGGTGTGTTTTAATTTTCTTGATAATGTATTGCATACTAAATATAAGCCATAATTCAGGGGACCAAGAAAAGAAATTACCAGTAACAAGAAGTATAAACACAACCCTCCTTCACTACATCAATGCTCATTTTCTTAATTTCTACTTTCGATTTGAGGAAATAAGTTTACGTCATCAATGCGTTTACCATGTGGAGTTATTTTATCCCAATTTTGAAGCGCCAATTCGACTTAGATTTCGGAAAACACCTAAGTTCACGAAATGGCATCAAAAAGATTAGGTGATATAAAAGCCGAAAATGCTGTATTTTTCATGTGTGACATTCAAGAAAAATTTAGGCCCGTTATCAAGTACTTCAAGGAGATTTTAGAAATCGCCGAAAAACTGGTATGTCCTTCTTTTTCTTTGCTGTAATGGATGACAGGTTAAGCAACGAAAAGCTTTGAACGCCCCTATAGTTTCTGATAACAAAAGATAACCGATACTAGCTGATGATATTCAAATAGATTGAAAAAAAAATGAATAGTTGTAAATCTTCTATGTCAAATTTGAAAAAGCGATATATCATAATGCATGGAAAATTGATTTTTGTTTTTGTTATCAGGGTTGGAAATTCACTGAAAATAGCAGCCAGTCACAGGGCTGGCTACTTTTAAAAGTTACCAGTCCTGCTCAAAATCTGCCAGTCCTGATAAAAACGTTTATTATTATGAATGTTGGATCTAAAGCTTAATATTTACATTTGTAATACAGGACTTACAGGCCCCTGGAATTTTTCACAATTTACACAATATTTGAAAAGATAATTTATCATAAAGCAATGGATGCATACTTTAAAGTTTAACATGCTTAAAAAAATTAATTCTTCCTGGGACCAACCTAGGCCCAAAATTTGGGGGGAGTTCAATTCTCCCTCAGAGAAATTTAGGGAGAAGTTTCGAAATATAGGGAGACTTCTTGGTGTACATGGTGCATATTCATCATTATTAAACTCTTTAAAAATAAAAAAAAAAATCATTGTTTATAACTTAAACACATTTCAATAATTTTTTTGTATCAATTTTTACATTGATCCTAGTAAACAATTTTTTTTCATTTCCTGCACAACTAACACAATTAACTTTTAAAAATTGAACCCCCTTTTTTCTCTTCTCATTTAAGATTTTCAGACTCTTGGCGTAGTCATAATTTTATTATCTTTAAAATTCGTTTTCAATAGGTCTATTTAATTCTTTTTCTAAAAAAACATATGATGCACTACTTCATGCTGATTGAACTGCTTATGTTTATGAGACTTGTAATTTCTTTGACATTAATAACTCCACAATTTAACAGTAAAAAAATGTTTGTATTCACAGCATGAATTAATTATTTGACAATAAAAAGATCTAAAATTATCTCACACATCTTTGCCACGACATCGATAGCAGTCCAGCTGTTTTGCACTAGTATCAATGGACATTTTCATACACCACAGTGTAAAAGCTAGAGGAGTTCCGACAGAGTATTCGATGCATTCGTAGCAAAACAGGTGCCCTGCCGTTTCACTTAATTCAGCAGTTATAAAACCAGACAGATTTATAAAATAGTGAGATACACCACGTTTCTAAATGCCGATAGTCTGTAGATTTTTGTTAATAAGGTATAAATATAAATTCTCAATATAAAAATCTGGCTATTCAAATTCAACCGACCACCGGGCTGTCATCTGAGGTTTTGTACCCGCCCGCCTGTAAAACAGACCGTCTCGGGCTGTCGGGCGGGCTGTAATTTCCAACCCTGTTGTTATGTGCTTCTATAGGACAGAATTTAAAGTAGTTTTAATTAGTTATTACAATAGATCAGTATAAACTG